AGGGTACCGCCAAAAAATTAAGAAAAATTTTCAAAATTGTATACTTTTGCCACGGGGATTTTTCTGCGTCAATTTGTTTGAAAATTTTTCTTAACTTTTTGGCGGTACCCTTCGCTAAAAATAGAAAATTTTCCAGGTTAGCCAGTGTGCTGAATACGAAAAAGCACTTTTCTTTAATTCTAAACAAACTTTAATTTTTTTTTATCGGTGATATGATAGACCGTTGTTGTCATAAAAAATGGCCTAAAATTTTTTCAAAAACAATTGTTTGACTTTTTAATGTTTTGAAGGAAAAGGATTTTAGGATTGTAAAAAGAAAGTTTTTTTGTCTATGTAAGTAACAAAAATATAGATATTGATGTAGTTGTATCCGATCCCGCTTCGTGAAATTTTTTTTTCGCCAATAGAAGAGCGTAATATGCTCGAAGGGTAGTGCTGTCCTCTCTAGACGACTGAACACATTGGTGGCAAAAAAATTAAGATGAAGAAATAATATTTTTTTATTACAGCTAACGTAAGCAGTGAGAAACTAATGCATAAAATACGTACTGACTGTTGATGTACACTGTCACTTACAAAAAGATGGTGAAAGAAAACGTCTGATCCACTTGATTTCAGTCGTCATTTTTTTCTACCGCAAATCTCCAGTTCCATCGTATTCCACAACTTTAGCATATCTAATCCTTGATAAGTTCGAAAGAGGGGGAAACCATTTGAATGAATGGATTTATTCACGAAAAGTGAGAGTCATGAAAGGTCCCTGACCTATAAAACAATGACTCGAGCCAAACAACAACAAAAAGAATATGGATTTATTCCAATCTCGATGGGTTCCGCGAATCCTACAAAGTTTTTTATTTTCTCCAGCGAACCTGAAAATTTTCCTGTCTTTTTTGAAATAGCTCTGTTGTTCTCTTCTTATGCCCGACTCTTTACTACTTTAGAATACACTCTCACTTTTAGATAATTGAGAAACAGAGGCGGCCTTCATAGTTTTGGGCAAAAGGTAATGGATCCAAAAACCGTCGCAGATGTGGTGTGAAAGTCTTTTGCTTTCTCTCTTGCTGGTAAAAAACAAAAGCTTTTCAATTATTGGATATGGTGAACTCCTAAATCCAGTGGCGGATCCAAAATTTTTCTTTGGTACGTGCGATATACTATAAAAGTATGAAATAAATGCATTAGTCATAGAAACAAATTATTCTGAAACAGTTTTTCTAAGAAACAATAGGTATTTTGCCCAAAAGGTACGGCTGTACGTACCGCACGATGACTGAATTCACCAGTGTTTGAACCCTTCTCTTGTTGCGACACCTCTGTTGAGAAAACCAATATAATTGTAATGTTTGAAACGAATGTAGTTCATTTATAATTTTTGTTCATGAAAAACAAAACAGTAAATAACGTCCTGTTAACGGAAAGCTTATAGAAGTTTTTCCTGTGAATTCTTTAGGAATTTTCAAACATTCTGGCATTTTCCGAAATGAGATATGCACTAGATAATTTCGGAAACCCTCAGGAAGAAAAATCCTGTGAGAACCCAGAAGAAGCCTTTCGGTAAATATATCAAGATTTTTGAAATCTTGAATCTCGCAGGTTGTTGCACGAAACAGTCGACTAAGGATACCTAAACATGATTCCAGTAAACGAAACAAATTTTCAAGCATATATAACGAAAAGTTTCGCAAAAGAAAATATTTTGTAATTGTCATTCTAACATTGTTCTCTTTTATTAGGTGATTGATTTTTGGTTATTTCTTTGTTTGCAATATGACTGACAATTCTGTGTTTTTGCCTAATAATAATATTACTCTTGACGAACCAAGTAAACTAAAACAATTTTCGTGGGAAGAATGGGATTCACAAAAGGTTGCTGTTTTATTTCGGTAGGCAATAAACTCTTTCATCATCGAAGATGTTGCATTTTTTATTCTTTTTAATTTTATTTTAGGTCTGGGTTAGATGGTTTACAGCGAATTGTTGTTCGACGTTATGTTGAAGCTGTTTTTTCTCAATCTGATAAATGGAAACAACTATCACATTATTTTCGTTCAATACCAAGCGTAAAAGCGTACATAATAACAACAAATGAGGTTGACTTAATAAATCGTGTTTGTGAATGGCATTTAAATGAAACTTATAAACTACGTTTTACAATGAATATTGACCAAATTATAGAATGGGATGATTTAATGGACTTTATACAAAATGCACAAAATCATTCTTGTACGTCAGGTGGTTTTACAAATGTTCGTACACGTTCGAAAGTCACAACAATTCCTGTTCAATTGTCACAATATATTGTGCATAAAAAATTAACACCGCCACCGAGTGAACAACAATCTGTTCATCATATTAAGAATTATTCAAAAATTTCAACACTAATAGCACAACGCTCAACTGCCCAATTAAAAGTGAGTACATCTTCAATAGATATCGTTACAAATAGAAAACCAACAGCAATAAATGATACGAGACAAATGAACGAACAGACACAAAAACAAAATGCCAACAAATATCCACAAACAAATCATGTCAAATCACCCTCAAATTATGACAGTTCGATAATGCATAATAATAGAATAGACAATGGTGCCATCTCGTTATCAACTGTATCATCAACTTCACCTAGCACTGATCGACATTCCAAAACTAACAATGAATATCAAAATATGATACCACGTTCAAACATCAGACAAATAGATAACTCTACTACATTACCGCAATCATCGCCACAAACAATTTCAGCATCTGTTGGTATGAAACATGTGCTATTTAGATTATTTTAGCTGTAAACGGTTAACTGTCAACTTAAAAAACTTTAGGCAGTGTCCATCTATTGAAACATCGTTTTCCATGTCTAATACTAACTTGCAATGAGAGGCATGTTTATCGCTATCATATTCGCAATACTATTTTGGATAAAGATTCAAAGTATTTTTGTGAACTGTACTAGATTGATTAACCTTTTTTTACCGTAATTATATAGTATTAAATCTATTCATTTTTTATTAATTCGTTTGTATTTTTTTTTCTTGGCCTAGGAATTACAAGTCTCTCATTAAGAGCTTCGCTAAATAATAATGCCGCCGTCACATTACGCAGTTCAACATCTGTTCAAAATGTAAATAAAAATTCATTATCAAAAGATCAAAGCGCAACAAGAATCACTTCGAACTATTCATTTACACCGACCACCATCACGAATCACACGCGTAATAATACTAGAAGTAATCCAACTCGTTTACAAAATAGTCGTGATAAGAACAATTTAATACAAAAAGATAGTGATACTTTACCATCTGAATTATGTTCGATTACATTGCAAAATGCCAAAATGTCCGGTTCTGGATGGGTGCAAATAAACAACGTCTATGTACCATATATAACCAAAAATCATCAAAGATTAGTGCCTTATCAAGTTTTATCGTTGTGTAAAATAGTTGACTGCGATGAGTTTCTTTTAAAACAAACTTTGACAACATCAACTATGGATGATGCGAAATTAATGAATAGAATGATTCATGATGCGTGAGTATTTTCTTTCTATTATACCTGTTAGATCAATCTTTATTTTTTCATTTTAGTAAAATTGATAATGAAGAAATAACCGAAAACTCTCCATTTGTAAATGTTTATAATGTTATGGTTGGAACAAAAAATTTGGTATATGTCAAATTATTACCGAAAGATAGTCCAACATCAAAAATCAATCGTCAGTATAAATCGGTATTATCATTACGTGGAGGAACAGTTTATATTGGCCATCGTACTATACCATTTGTATGTGCTGGAAATCGAAATTATGTACCGTTTCAAGATATTATTGCTATTTATCCAACATTAATATCACAATTAAAACCAATATCTCGTGTTCCAAGAATGCACGAATTAGATTATCTTAATCTTGTTAAACTTTATTATGCCGAAAATGATCTGTCATCGGACACATTACTAATTGATATGGCTGATTTAAAACAATTACAAATTATAGCCTTATCAAGAAATATGACATTAACCGAACATCATCAAAGAGAAAAACAAAAGTTAGAAGCTGAAATAAAAGAAAAAACATTAGGTAATGTTAGTCAAAAACGGAAAGCTGACAGTGATCTAATCTATAGTCCAAAACATTTGAAAACAAATGCATCATCTAAACAACAGACATTTCGTCGTTTTCAAAACTCCACGCCACCGCAACAAGTCATACAATCGATAGGTAAACGTTATACACCCTCTGCAGTAGTACCTAGTTCTCGTTCCTATTTCACAATGCAACAACCACAACCGCAACCATATTATCCCGCAAGTACAAGAACGCATTAATAACTATATTTTCTATATTTTTCTTTATTATCAACCGATATGTGTTATTAATTTTCCTTTTCACTTCTGAAACAAGACTTTTAAATTTATCAATAGGTCAATTTGTTTATTTTTCTACTCTTTATAAGAGTGATGTTTTTTTCTTCTCATACTTTTTTTCAAAAATAGATGCGAGAAGCTTTTTACTGAGTAGGCTGGCATCAGTAAAATGTGTGTTGATAAGAAATGAAACCAGCTTAATCGTTCTATAGATTCTGAAGAAATCGATATTTGTGATTTTTAATTGTGATATTAATTTCTACAAGGACTGTTTGCTTTGGACAAATGATGCGATGATGTTTTTTTTGTATTGTTAGAATAAAATGTGTATAGATTTTTTTTCTATGCCGCATTTTCTGAATGTAAACACATAATCCCAAACTGTATATGTTCTCTTGTTCAGATAGTCTAGCTCTATATGTTAATACTACTATATTTTTCTTGTCTTCTAATCTTCCTTGTATTTTTCTATCACATCTATTTTGCTTGATTTTTTTCTGGTTGTTTACATTCACTTTCTAATTTAGATACTTTATAGATGAACACGTTTTCACTTGTACCGAACAAAGGTTCTTTCAGCTTATTTATAAAAAGCGAATTTTAAAAGAATTTTGTCCCTTTTTGGATAAAATTCATCAGGCAATAATATATTCGTATGAATCGGTTTTACAACTCTAATCGTAAAAAGGTTTTTCAAAGATAATCATTTTTTCAAGATTTTTCAAGTACTTTCTAATTGCTTAGCTTATGACAGATTGTTTCAGATATCATATTTCTAAGGATAATCGTATCATAGTCCATATAATGAATAGTGAACAGGAAGGGATTAGAACCATCACGATCGAAAACTCAAACGTTCTTGATCAAGTAATCAAAATCTGCGCTAAAGAAAAATGTCTTTACTATGTACATAGTACAGCTCGAGATTTAGTTATTCCCAGCACAATGAATCAGTTTAGAACAGCGGTTAAATTCAACAAATTCATGGATAAAATTTATCTTTATAAACTAACTCTAGCTCAATTACAGGAAGCCAAAGGTAGAAATACGGCAGAGCTAGATGCAAGAAAAAGAAAGAATAGCTCAAGAAAAAAAATCAAAGCGAAACCAAGTAAAGAACGAGAGAAGCAAAAAGAAGGAAAAAGCGAAGATCTAAGGCATGATCGTCCAGTGTCTGCCCAGCCCACATCGACATTCGGAGTACGCTGTGATGTGAGATTTTTTGGCCATGTATATGTGAAGCTATTTTTGTTTTCAGATGACTATGTCAGAAGATGAATAAACTTTTGTTTTTCTTTCTGATGACTGGAACATCAGCGAATCAACTAAATTCAAGGGAAAAAAGCGATGATGAATACTACACTGTGGAAAAACAAGAATAGAAATGTCAGTTTATTGTCTGATGCTATTTGAGAGGGTGCTAATGTTATTTTGTATAGCTATTTAAAACATTATTCACTTCAGTCAAAAAGTACTAAATCAATAACAATTTGAGGATTTAAAAAGTGATTGCTTTTTTACGTGAATAAGTTGTTTTTCAATCAGTTGATCTTTGTTCATAGATGCCAGCGAAGGTGATCATTCTGTATTGAGTCCGTATGAACGAATATTGTATCTAAATAGAAATCGATTCATGAATCGATATTTCAAACTGTTGCGTACACATTTATAGATGGCAAATATGGAAACATTTTCATTTTGAAAAAGACACAAGACCGCAAGCAATTGAATTCAACTTCATCAGTTTTGGGATATTCAAAACAGATCCAGCTATCAAAATATTGCATTCACTCACTAAAGCTTGGTCATGTTCTATTCATGGCGAGAATGAGTTTTTATTATTGTTGACAAGTACAACTTGCAACTCTCTACATCAGCTTAATGAAAAGCCATTATTGCTCATTATGATATATGACGGCATTGAAACTAAATATTAACGACTTCATTTGTGCATTATCGTTGTTGCAAAACGGAGACAAAGAAGTGTAGGCATACAATGTCAATAATCGAACTTTGTCATCATCAAAAGTGAAAAATGCATACTATTCATTGTCTCTTTTTAATAGCGAAAAGAATTTCATCTATTTATATGCTGCAACAAAAAAGATTTCACATGTATTAGTGCGTGTGTAGCTGTTCCGCATCAAGGAAGCAAAACACCTTATTTTATCAGCATTGTCGGACATCTGTCGGACCACTATCAAGTCAGTGGCGCACTGATTTTTTTTCTTTTTACTTTTCTCCAAGAAAAAATTGTACAGGCAGTGGAAAAGAGGAAGAAACTTACGAAACAAAACAAATTCTTTCTTTCAAGAGAAGAGTTCTTTAGTTTCTCCAGTTACTTAGTTAAAAAACTCATTATTTTTGCGAGAAAAGATTGTGAAGATCCCATTCTGTAGCTTAGACTTTTTTTACATTATATGTTCAATTCAAATCGGAAAATTTTCGAAAAGAGATACTATAAAGATAGAACCTATATCACTTTGGTTGTATATCTTACAGTAGCCTAACATTAAGCATGTAAAAACTTTTAACATATTTAAGACCAATAACTGAGTTTTACTTGCTTTCGTGAATTTAACTCTTCATAATCACAACGAAATGTTATACGCTCTCCTATTTTCATACGTTTGCTAAAACATTTTTGTCGCAAAATATTTGAATAATCCGTACTTGATCGCCAACCATCTGCAAAAATGTTCTAATAATAAAAGAGTTTATGTATTAATAACAAGTGAACAGAAAACGAAAACAAAATGTCTCCAAATGAAAAAAACAGCATAATGTTACTCAACAATTTAACATGTATGAAAAAAAAGAATAATAATCTAGTGTGTCAGTTCGTATTTACAAGACACATATACATTTGATTTAATTATTTACGAGGCCAATAACGAGGTGCAGGGAGATCATTCGTTGTTATATATTTATGTTTACCTAAATGATCATCGTAATCAATTTTGTTACGTGCAAATATTAAACGGATGTCGGCATGTAAATAAAGTTTACCCGTTTGTGATGTTACGAAACTAGAATGCAAAAAAATTATTATTATAAGAATAATTAAAAGGGATAATAAGCAATATTGAATTACCGCAAATGTGCTAGATATCTTAAATTGCCTTTTGTTTGATCACCGTTTTCTGGAACACAGAGGTGACGTTGACGAATAAATGTTCGATGATCTGGTGGCATATCTGTTAAATCATACGAAATCAGAAATATATGAACAACTGTTTGATTAGGATTGAATAATGCCTGATCAAAAAATACAGAACAATTAATTTTATTGAATTATATAAACAAGAAGAGACGTTCATAATCATACCAATTGTACTGTTCCTTTTGTTGGAGTGTGATAACCTCGTTTCGGTAATGAAAGAAGATTGACAAAACCCTACAGAAAAAGAACGAATAAATAGACAATAATTAGTAATTAAAAGAACATGTTGCAATATGTTTTAATTCCCTCTTATATGTCTAGATATCGAAAGATTAAAACAAAAGACTTATAATTCATTAGACTAAGTGATACGTACTAGATATGGTGAACATGCTGCATCAGCCGAAACATTAAACCAGAATACTGAGACAGGTAATGTGACATGTTTTGGAAGAAAGAGCCCACTTGCTCCAAGTTTAACTGCAAATCCATCGACTGTGCCACACGGCAACATTTTTCCACTAAGAACTGATTCCTGAGATGAAAATCATTACATAAAAAGTATTTAGTAAGTTCTCTTCAATGTACATGCACTTACCACAAAGTTTCCTCTTAAACAATTTAATGTTTCAACAAGTGATTTTCCTCTTGAACTATTACCAATTGTTTGTGAAACTTCATGTTCGTCATCAGCTTCAAATACACTACATGATAATACACTTCGTAAAGTACGAGCGTTCACTACTTGTTTCGAACTATCTGTTGTTGACGTCGTTAATGATTTTTGTTGTTTATAAATTAATGAATCTTTTTGTCGTTGTTGTAAAACATTGTCATTATTCAAACGAACACGATTTTTATATAATGTTCGCATTGCACGTTGATTCGATCGTTTAAAATCGATTTCTTCTGGTTGATTTTCGCCTTTTAATTCATTATCTTTTTCATTATCATCACTGTTATTTTTGTTTACAATTGGAAATTTCATAGGTACTTTCACTTTATCCGTAGGACTCATAATAAAATGTTCAAGTTTTCTTTTCATTTTCAATGATGCACAATGATCATGTTTTTCCGCTTCATCTTTGTGATTTATCGGCATAACAATATGGAGTTTATTTTGTTGTTGTGATAAAAAACAGTTAAATGTTGCATTGGCTGAAGTAGCTGTTGATATTTGTTCCATATTTATATTACTTTTTCTTAAATCATCATCGTCATCTGTACGAAATTTCTTTTTCTTGGAACGACATGCACATGTTCCAGACAAATATGATAATATTCCCTCCTGATCTGTATTATCAAAACTTGAACAAGAAAAACTTGTTTCATTTTCTTGTTCTTCGTCATCATCGTCTTCAAATAGATGTTGATTGTTTGAATGACTAGAACCACCAACAGCAGTACCATTAATTGGAATTGGTAATGATCGTGGTCGTTTTTGATTTTGATATGTTGATGGTTGTTTCTCATTTTGTTGTTGTTCTTCATCATCACTGGCACCAATTAAAAATTTTGTTGAATTAGAAAATTTAAGACATTTTCGACAACAAATATCGCTGGTTAAATTATTTTCTTTCTCTGTTGTTGTTATTGTTGTAGATATTGGTACTAGTGATGTGGTGTATGAGCTAGATGATGATGAAAGTGATGACAAAGGGGAGCAAATGGAATTAGTATCGTTTTGTTTTTTTATGCTAAGATCGTTTAGTTTATCAACAAGACTATGAGATTGTATTTTTAAATTTGGAATTGATGGTATTTGAAAAACATTTTGATTATTATTATTGTGGACTGAACAAGTAGTCGTTGATGTTTTTAATTCGAACGATGAGTGATGAGATGTACAAGGTAAAAATGATTGTTGAAGATCTTCTTCATCGTCATCGCGTGTTGAAGTAAAAAACGATGATAAATTTTTATTAGTTTGTGATGAACAATAACCAGATGAAGTTCGTGAACGATTCGAATTCGTTTGATTATTTGAAGAAAAATAAGACGATTGATTCTCACTGTTTAGTTGTGTAAATGGCGATAAATAATCTGGCAATGAATAGTGTGACGATGGTGATGACTGATTGTTTTGTTCATATGGTATTGATTGTTGAAGTAATAGACTGTTTGAATGATTTGAAGAATGCATTGACGATAAATTGGAATTAATACTAGTGTTAAAATAATTTGAATGACCTTGAACAAACAATATAATAATTTAAATTATTAGAACGCCATGTCAAAAACAAGCAATATTGAGAAAACTGAAGTAAGGCGATGTGGATGGCTTTCGGATGCCATTAAGTGTGTTTCGACCATTTTTAACCATTGCCTATCCACCTAGTGACAACCTGATTTTTTGGAATATACAGCTCTAGGTTAACTGCGTCGAATATTAAAAAACTTTTATCTCAATCAGACTAGCTCTACTGAAAAAAGATTTTTAAACTTTATTTTTTGGAAGAAAAGCAGCCGGAGTCTTGACTATCGGTTGGCGAAGATCACGAATCTCCATCTCTTTTCAGATAAGAGTTATTCAAAAGAAATACTCAACAGCCTTAAATTTTTTAAATGAATAGTAGTCCATCGAATAGCATAAGCTCATTCTTACCTTCTTTACTATTTATTAAAGATGTTATTGTCTTTTCTTCGGTAACTGTTGATAAATTCGTGTTAGATGGCTTTAATAATGAACGGAACTCACTGTGTTTATTATTAACTGGTGTTGACGTTTGAGAAAGTGATAGTGACTCATTACAATCTGTTGTTGATCGTCTAAATAATACTGAACGACAGGGTATTGTTGGCTTGAAATGTTCAATATCACCATCAATTGCCGAACAATCGATTGGAACATTTAAATTATCAAGAAAAAACTGTTTTGTGTTTGGATGAGATCGTTCCGGATTATTGTTCTCAGTTTTTAAACGTGCAACCGGCCGTGTTAAATAATCGTTCGAACTAGAACGTCGTTTATTCGTCATTTTTAGTTGTAATGGTTGCTTTGTATTATCAGCATCTGATGGTCCTTCATCCATGGATAAATGAAAAGTGTCACTGTATGCACCATCTGCTGTATCAAGTTTCACACATGGAACAGGTAATGAATGTTGACCTTGAAACATCAATGAAATCGTTGATTGCTGTGGTTTTTCGTCAGAGCTAATATTAACGCTAGTGCCAAAATCTGACACATCAAATACCATTTGAGAGTTAATGAACTGATTCACAATTTTATTTTGTTAAAAATGTTGAAGAATCGTCTTCATCGGCTAAAAAGCTAAAAGAATTAAAGAGAAATTTATTAGGAGTTAATTGTGAGCTTATTTCTGCTGGCGCATTTTATAACTATATCGTTTGTAATCAATGTGATCGGTCAATATGATAATCTCAGAGTAGATAAAACTATTTATGCAAAAAATTTCTCTCATAATAAATAATGGTCCATTGACTCCAAGTGTGACGTGTCGAGTCAATTTTGAGTTAAGACTTTTGTTGTAACCACTGAATAAGAAGTACAAATACATATTCTCAATGTAAGAAAGCATGTTTTAAGAAATTTTCAACTCTGTACCGTTCCAGTTCCGTAGCTATAAAGTGTAGCGGAGTATACGCCTCGGTTTTTTATGATGTCACAATTACAAACATTCTCCCGAATTGTTTTTGGACATACAGGAGAAAAAAAGGTTTATGTGGACTTTGAAAATTGGAAATAACTGAGAGAAGAATGTTCTTCTACTGCTCTTCTCAATTGCTTTGGATGCCGCTGTATATTATGCGTGGAGCAGTGTATTATGTACATTCAACGAGAGCTATGTGGCATTTTGAAGAGAAGATGACATTTGTTTCTAACCTTTGATGTGGAGCAGATATTGTTTTTTAGTTTTATCAGCAGTCTGAGAAAAAAGTTGAGCTCTGTTTGTACTTACGTTTTATAAGAGTAGATCGTAACGATCTCTACTCAGAAAATAGTTTTTCTAATATTTTTGAACAACATTCTTTTATCAATGAAATAATTCGTGGTTCCTTCTATTACTGTTGGGGAACACAAAAAAGAGCAAAAAATGTACAAATTAAAAAATAGCCTTGATTTCGGACTTTGTCAAGTGTGAAAACTTTTCTTCCAGCTTTCTCTAACTCTGAAGTAAGCATTTATGGTCGAATACAGATTTGATTCAGAATTTATTTTGGCCACAGAGAACCCGCAAAACTAATATTTAAAGAAAAAGTCACATACCCTCCATGAAGTCATACAGGTACGTGTTAGCATTCGTGAGAACTGGTTAGCAGAGCTGGATTGGACGTTGTTTCGACTTTTTTCTAAAATTATATTGTTTTATTGAGTTGTCTTGTGGAAAGGTTACGCCGGAAAAATGATGCTCTCAGTATTGCATGACATGACAGTCAAGTGAGCATGCAACAGTTACAGTTAACTGTAACAACTGGAACTGAGATGAGGGTAAAACTGTCGAAAAACGTTTTTAGCATTTTGGTCTCGATTCATTCAGATATATGCCTTTTTTTGTCCCTACTCGGAAACCTATGCTAATCGTACAACATTAATTCACTCTAAAATATTTTCCTAACAATTATAAGTTACAGTTATCAGCAGTTTTACCACTACAGTTAATCACCAAAAAACTGTAACTAGCGTATGCCTACAGCCAAGGACACTTCTCCCTAATGATTTGTTCAATTCTGATCGTTACAAAACCTTCCTTAAAACTGACCGTTTCGACTAAATCTTTCATTTTGTGTAGAGCTCCATGGAGAGAAGGGCAAGTGCTAACTTTTTAGAATATGAGCATTTCAAAAAAGTATAATCGATTACTTCTCTGAGGAATACCCGACTCAAGTAACCCGAGTAGTTTTATCACAGTGAAAACAAAGCAGAATTTTTCAGCTCCTTAGCTAGCGCATTTAATTACTGACAATACTTTGGGCATTTCATATCCCATTTGTACTGTTTCGTAGCTGACATTATACTACGGTCACACTACAGCGTGATTAGTTAATCGCAATTAATTCGTAGTGTGACCGCGATATTAATCACGATTAACTCGCTAATCATTATTAACTTTATGCATGATTAAAAGATGAATAGCGTAATCACGATTAGTGTTAATCGTGATTAAATGTAGTGTGTGACCGCTCTAATCATGATTAAATGTATGCATACTTATCAAATTGAAAAACAAAATGACGGAAATAGTATGAGACTAGATATTGGTTTAGCTAGTAAAGTAAGATTAGCAATTAATTATTTCTTTCTGCTTCAGTTTATTCAGTTTAATCAAATTTTAATTTATTGAGAAACTAGTCGTGCCTACTTAGCTGCCGCTTAGTCTCCTTTTCCATCGCAGCATTCTTTCGATAAAAGGATTCAAAGTGAATATTGAAAGTTTCTCAAAGTTCGGTCAGTGAATAAATACAGCCCTCAGTTGCACTGTATCTTGTCTGTCTTAGGCGTATAGCTTCATTTATAGCCACGAGTTTTTTAAGTATTTTCAAAGAGTAGTTATTAAGTTAAGGATCCTCCCTCCGGATAAAACTTTTTATCTCATATCCGATTTCGATGGCGCTTTCAGTGACTAATGCTTACTGTCCTACGAGCTAAGAATTTGAAATCGAAACGTTGAAGCGCTGGCGAGTTATTGCGTGACAAAGGGCAAAATGGGGCTCTCAGCAAAACCGTAAAGACTTTTTTGTTGGAAGGTGCAGAAAGCTGCGAATGAATAGTCTCAAATGAAAGTAGACACCTAAATCTAAAATTTAGTTCGCGCCGATTTTTGAATTTCGCTTCCGTTTATTTCCCACATGCATTTTAAATCAGAGCTCTGAAAATAACCCTAATCCAGCGTAGCATTTGCCACTTATCTCTGCACATAAAACAAAAATCGCCGCGAATGAATCTTTAGATAAATGTCTTAAAGAAAAAAAAATGAAGGTTTTACGATGAATTGTCGAGGAGTTGATATAATGTTACATCGCTAAAACCATGTTCTGAGAAAAACGTCATCACTTCATTAATTATAGTTCAGCGCCTTTAGTAAAACTAGTATAACTCTGCAAGACAAAGTCGTACAAACCTGCTGGATATCTTATTCTGATCAGAACACTCTGCTCAACATAGCCCCATGTCTGTTAAAACGAACAACCTTAAAAATTTTAATTAAAACGTAAAATTTAGAAAAAGGCGATTTTTAGGGCTTTCAGAAATCTCTTTCAAAATCCTCCAAAAACATTGAATTTTGAGGAAACGCACATCATGGTCCAAAAATGGAATAACCGCTTTGTTAAACATATTGAAAGACGATTTTAGTGCACTTTCCGTATTTATTTGCTGTTCATAATCAGGATTAGTCTTTAATCATGATAAGAGCGATCACATTGTTTATTTAACCGTGATTAAAATAGTGTTAATCATAATTAAAAACAGATGCGGTCACACTACAAAATCGTTAATTATGATTAAGACTGTAGTGTGACCGTAGTGTTAGAGATCAAAAGAAGGTTTTTGATAGTCACATTTTACAGCAGCACTAACCATTTCCAAATTGAACTAGTGTGCAGATTGTAGAATAGTACTCAGAACAAGAGTAGTCTTTTGTTGACCGAAAGAAACATGAGGACGATAGGAGACCAGATGTTTAAAGTAGAGAAAAAGACGATATTTCTTTCCACGTGCTTTCTACACATCCAGAAGAAAAAAATATATTATAATATTTTACTCACGTATGAGCTGTATCAGACGTTTTTTTTGTCGACAGCTGCTCATAAGTCTTTAAGATACTCAGTATAGATCAGGTGTGTGACATTATTTGTCGCTACACTCCGTTTTTAAGCTACGCATTAATTAAAAAAGTACTCATCCATCAGTTACTCCATACGCCTTCATATAGAATTGGAAAACATGCTTTTCGATACTGAGAATATGTATTTGTACTTCTTATTCAGTGGTTACAACAAAAGTCTTAACTCAAAATTGACTCGACACGTCACACTTGGAGTCAATGGACCATTATTTATTATGAGACAAATTTTTTGCATAATAGTTTTATCTACTCTGAGATTATCATGTTGACCGGTCACACTGATCATAAACGCAGTCCCAGGTGAAATTCACCTTACAAGATCATACAAGATCTGGCGTTTTCTTATGAAATCTTGTAACAAGATCTTACTGCATGATCTTACAAGATCTTGTCATTGAGAGGTGCGACTTATATTTATTTATCACAAGATCATGCGATTTCTTGTTATAAGATCTTATATGATCTTGCAAGAAGCGATGACTCATTCTTATCACATAAATTTTGCTGCGATATATAGTATATATACAATATCGTTCTGATAAATTTTTTTCTTTCTTCAACTCGATACATCAGCTGATGTCAGCGCAAATAAAGTGCGTGGCTATTAGAACGTGTCTAATAGACACGTTCTAAACACGTTAGTGTCCTACCTATACTAGAAAATATTAAGAATAGAGAAAGATACTTTTTTAAGAGGGTCTAGAGAGATTTTGTAGAACACGATACATAATCTTATTAGATCTGATGAATTTCATACGTGACCTTATGGAATCTAGTAAAATCTTGTCACTTCTTGCACGATCATACAGGATCTTACGAAATTTTGTGAAATCTATACAAGAACCTTACAGACATTTCTTGGAAAGTCTTGAAGAAAGATCTTTTAAGATCCCAAACGATCTTATTTTAAGATTCGTCGACCTATGATGGAGTTAATGTGTGATAAACCTGCTCTAGGATGCTACTACAAATCATCGAAATCTAATTTCTTTTTTCTCTCCTTTTTGTTGATGCGCTCTATATTTAATTATTAGACGTACGCCCAAATATCCATGTTACCTGTATTATTTTCCGGTGTTTTACATTTCGATATTTCAAGCCATTTTCATAATGATAAAAATTCGATTAGATGTTGTAAAATTTGTAACGATCGTCCTGATTGGATGCGGAAAATTTGTGTCTAAAAACAAACAACTATCTGTCACAATAACAACAAAATGGGTGGCAATATTTTAAGAAAGGAGTAACAATATTTATTTGCGTATACTCTTTTAGAACGATAGTGTAAAAAAACCCGACGAAACTAAAAAAGCATAAAATTTGCAGACTCATGCAAACGTCTTTTCTTTTCTATTCTTCCCATGAAATAAATAATTTGAAACGTCTTACGA